TATATCATCAAAACCGCCGCGATTTGCCGCTAGATGTATCTAGAAGTTTACGAGCTTGGCCTGCAGTATCTTCGCTCTCGTTTTTACTTATTGTTATTGCGTGAAAGGGAATGATCATCAATAAATAACAATTTGAAAAAATAACAAAACGCCGTTTTAAAACTACTTTTAGTAATTGCGTTTTCATTGCATTTTCTTAATAAAACACAGGAAAATGGGTACCTAAACTAGCAACGTAGAGAACTAAGAGCTTTTCGTCGCTAGATGTCGCTGAAGTTTCTCACTCGTATCTTCTGTCTCTTTTCATTCTACCAGTGGTGAAGGAAAAAGAATGAAAGTGCCCTTCGAACGTACCAAAGGTTATTGAACTCTCGGGGTCGTCTACCGCCGATCAGCTGATTTTTTCGAGTTTTAATTACATTGCGTTTTTATGGAAAATCAATAAATAGACAAATTTATTGATAAAAATAGTAATACTTAACTTATTTTACATCGCTAAAAATGAAAAAAAAATAAAAATAACATATTTTTTTTGAAAAATAAAGTAATCATTTTTTCATTGCAATGTATCCAGAATCACTTACTCTATCACTGGTTTTCGTTTTCGGAAGCGTTCCCCTAACACCCAGTATATATATATCCCTTTGTTTTTCGATAAAGACAGTGGTTAAGACAAAAACATTTGTCAAAGTTCATAAAACATCAAACAAAGGTTCAATTTTACGTATTTTTAAAAGTTGTATCTCGACAACTAACGAATTCCACGCATTGAAAAAAATAAATTACATTAGCATCTGTGTGCATGTATAAAAAAATTATCAACAGAATTAGCGCAGTTGCCTATACTTAAGCTGAGCTATATAATTAATTATAAAAAAGATATTTAGATAAATTACAGCCACGTAAAATAAAAAGAAAAGGCTCCCATATACTTGGGAAAATTGAAAGTGAATAGCAGTGGCAACACTGACGACAAAATGTCGAAATTTTATTTGTGAAAATTAAATATTTTTATTTTATAATCTAGCTTTAATTTTGTATTTATTGCCAAAAATTTTAATGATTTAAGTGTGAAACTTAATATTCTTTCGTATTATGTGTATTTGTAAAAGAGTATCGCATTTTATTTACTGTTTTTCTTTGTTTTTGCGGAGCATTTTTTTTGTACTTTCTTGGCGGGAGTTGAATGAGTAATGAAGTGAAAAACGAAAAAACTAAGACAAACGTCTTAGTTTTAGTAGCTTCAGATTTTTGGTATGTATTGCGTATCTAGACATATTAATATCATTGGTTAATACCCGTCTTATACAATCTAATATAATGCAACGTGAAAGTTTAAAAGTTTATATATTATTTTTATTAATAAATCACGATATACGTTTACTCCACAGTCCTTTATAGTTATGCTACATTGTTTATGTATATCCACTAAAACTACAGGTTATGGGCCCAGTCCCTATGTAGTATTTTTCAGGAAAGTGGAGCGAATAAAATCGTTAGAATCACGCAGAAAGAATCAGTCATTACAAAACTAAAAGGCCATTTCAACTATGGAAAATGGTCATTCGCTATGCAAATGATCCTAGTGGAACATGATTAATGGAATTACGTAGAGGAAGAGAATATTGTTTTGACAACAGACAATCAGAAGCGTGATGCAAAAGCACGGGCCAAAATACAATGATATTAATATGTCTAGATACGCAATACATACCAAAAATCTGAAACTACTAAAACTAAGACGTTTGTCTTAGTTTTTTCGTTTTTCACTTCATTACTCATTCAACTCCCGCCAAAAAAGTACAAAAATCAGTGAGTTTTATCTAAATATCTTTTTATAATTAATTATATAGCTCAGCTTAAGTATAGGCAACTGCGCTAATTGTGTTGATATTTTTTTTTATACACGCACACAGATGCTAATGTGGTTTAATTTTTTCAATGCGTGGAATTCGTTAGTTGTCGAGATACAACTTTTGAAAATACATAAAATCGAACCTTTGTTTGATGTTTTATGAACTTTGACAAATGTTTTTATCTTAGCCACTAACTTTATCGAAAAACAAAGGGATATATATGCACAGAGCCTACTTTCGTGATTGTTTTTATTTCAAACTTTTTTCAAAGAAATTTTCAAAGTTAAAGTATTTTACTTATTGATTTAATACATATATCTACACTACTCATTCATTCATCATCATCACAATGGTGAAATTTTCGACAGCTGGCAATACAATATCAATTACCCATTTTTCCGTTCATTCTGTCGTTCGCACACATTCTGTCTTTGTTTAATTTAAAGTTTAATCGTAGATATGAGGGAGACAAATATAATAAATCTATTTATAATATATAGTATAAATATTATTTGCAAAGCTACGTCCTGATTTCGGAAAAGTGCTACGCTTTTTGGCGCGTCTGTTGTATGGGATTGCTTGTCTAGTTATTAAGAGCCACATGACAAATTTTCACTCTGTGATTTGAGTTCTCGAGAACTTGTTCAAGGTCACGAGTCCACAATACTGTGTTGAAACCACGTTCAAGCTATTTTGATACTTTTCCCAATATTTGTATTTATTTTAGTATTTCTATGATGAGATTCATTATCGATTCCCGAATATTTTAAACGACTGCTCTCGAAAAGGAGTCTATTGTTTTTAGAATTAATGTATGTATGTGAGTATTTTTATTGCACCATAACTTTTGAAAGATATAACGGATATGAATGTACAGGGTATCATTAGAAACATCATCCTAAATAACCACAAAATACATAGAGTATCAGTGAAACTAGCTTAATTTTTAATATTAAATAGGTATGGGGACGTGTGACGCCATTTAAAAAAGTATGTTTTTTTATAATCATAACTTTATGGGTATCAAATTAAAGGTCCATTAAAAATATATAATCTGTATACAAAATTAACTGCTCACTAAAATGAATAAAATATAAAAATTATTTAAAAATTAAAAACACGACTGCTAAGATCGGACAAAAATTAAAAGAAACAAGTTTAGCCAAATCATAGGCTATAAATATAAATAGCGATGACAATATATCAATAAAATTATAAATATTAATTAAAAAATATGCGTGCCATATTTTTCGTCGACGATTTCGAAATATTTTCGTCATCCATAGGAAACATGGATTGTTTCCTGTTTGGAAAAGTAGTAAATTAGAATTATATTAAACTAGTTGTGCCCGCGGCTTTATGCGAATGGAAAGTAACCTAAGGTTCTTTTCTCATGGCTAGATGCGATGTTATTAGATATGAATGAACGATATCACACGAATCGCATGCACTTATAAAATGTATGGAAAAACTCAAGTGTTTGCTCATGAGGTTGTACTATCTGTCAATATCGGTCACAAATCTCATGGTCTGCGGTATCACTTCAAATGTATGAAGGCGGTAGAACGCTCGATCTGCTTTTGATTTTCTGTTCAATAATATCGAGGAACGATTCATTTGCTCATACTTACCATATCATAAAAATATATTGAATTTTACAAAAAAATACGGCAATATCCGTATATAAACAAATGAAAAGCTCGATGGTGCCGGATAGCTCGTTTGATTTGCGATTGAGGAGGTTAAGCGACGATTGCAAAGGCCGGAAATTGGATGGGTGGTCAATTTTTTTGGTGGTCAAAAAAGAGATAAGGCAAAAAGAGCATATAAGAAACGTCCAACTAACCGCAATCTTATTCGTTTTAAGGTTCTTCGAAATTGCTGCAGTCGTATGTGTAGGGATGCTAAGCGACGCTTCTTCCATAGCTCTCTTACTGATCGCAATCCTACTGATGCCTGGCGGTTTTTGCGCTCTGTAGGAGTGGGGAAATCTACTGCTACTGTGTCTACCAATGTAGATTTAAGCGTCCTTAACAGACACTTCTCCCTTCCTCCTTCTACTATCGATGGTGACATAAAGGATTCTACGCTCGCAGAACTTTCACTGGTTCCGAGGCCAGACTGCACATCTTTTGTCTTTTCAAAAATATCCGAAACTGACATTAAAAATACCATTCAAGCCATTTCTTCCGAGGCTGCTGGCGAGGACAACCTAAGCGTAAGAATGTTTACCCCTATTTTATCTTTTCTCCTTCCTATACTTGTTCACATACTTAACTTCTCACTTGAATCCGGTTCTTTTCCCAAAATTTGGAAGATGGCGCACATTATTCCACTGCCTAAAGTATCTAATCCTTCAGTCCCATCTCATTTTCGTCCTATTTCTATTCTTCCCCTTCTCTCTAAACTTCTTGAGCATATTGTTCATAAGCAATTATCAACTTTTCTTTTTTCTAATTCCCTTTTGAATAGGTACCAATCTGGTTTCCGCCCCAGGGCTATTGGCTAACTTTGACATCAAAGTGTGCAACTGACAATTCGTTGTACACTGCGATTTGATCGCAACCAGTTTCTCACTAACATTGGTATTGCGTATCATAGTAGTTGGACATCAACTAACGGTGCTTTACGGTGCCTTATAAGTGTCATTCGACAAACCTCTTGACTCCTCTATTTTTTATCGACGTTATGCGCCGAAATTTAGTTGCGTGTCCAAAGCACATCCATTAATATGAATTGGAGTTATTATTATTTAGACGGGTTATTTACCTGTTTGACTCTTGAAAACAAAAATGTTTAAAATATTTGGCGCTAAATTCATATCAACTTGGACTTTCGTCAAGTTAAAAGGTGTTAAGTTAGTGTTGTTGAAAGATTTAATAGTCAAGGAATAAATGTAAGTAAAGCTTTTATATATTTTCTAGTATTGTTACTGTTTTTTCGTGTTAATATTATTGTTTGCATGCATTTAAAATAGATTACGATTTACGAATATTCCATTGGAGAAAATTTGTCGCTTTCATTATTTTATATAGATACGAAATAATATTACCTCTAGTTTAGTGTTTAATATTAGTAACTGTTTATTATGTTGTAATATATTTCTTGAATGATCATTTCTTTATTTGGTACCTAACATTTCAGATGCCGGCAAAGAGAAAACTGTCTCAAAGACAGCTAGAAATCCTCCTAGAATTTGCGGAATCTCATCAGGAAATTGCATTGGGCCGCTTCTGTGGTGGTCCGCTATCGAACCAAGCTACAAAGCAAGCTTGGGAAGCAATAGCGCTCCAACTCAATGCAGTGGCTGATGGGATTACTAAAACACCTGACCAATGGCGGAGAGTAAGTTTATAATTAATATTTCTTAATATTGTATAGCAGATTCCTTCAATGATTTTCTGTTTCAAGTCTAAAAAAGGGATATTTTATCGCCCTGCATAGTTTCATCCACTTGAGAGGGTGAAGCCACTCAAAAAGATTTGTTTAAATATACTCTAAAATCAACCTTATGTTTAAATAATTTTAAAGGTGCATTCTCAGTATTGATCTTTCTAATACTTTTAACTTCAAGTTTTGTTTAGCTAAATTATTACTTACTAACACTAGTTGATAAGTTTTTTTATTGTACCTTATACTAACCAAATATGATCTACTTATAAAAATGTTTTTCGATATAAATATTATTGTTAAACTAACTTTTTATTGTTTTTTTCAGTATTGGATAGAATTTAAAGCCAAGGTTAAGGCCAAGGCCGCAGATGTTAGGAGGAGTGCATCGGCTACAGGTGGAGGGCGAAGCAAACTTATTCCTCTGAGTGACTTCGATCAAAGGGTGCTAGCCCTCTTAGGACCTGTAGCAGTGGAAGGACTGCCTGGCGTTCGTATTCCCGTTGAAGTTAGTAACTTTTTTAGATTTCCTAGGTGGTGTGATAATTCTAAGTCTTCAAAAAACTAACATGTGTAAAAAACATTTGTTTTTATTTTAGTTGCCAAGTACATCAACTACCCCACAACCATCTCCTGATGTCTTATCACCAGCAATGGAAGTGGAATGGTTAGATGAAGCAATGGGTGGGACAGCTAGCGAGGAAGTGGAGCAAGAATTGGTTCAATGTGGTGAGCCTCCAGTTGATTCTGAACCTCACTACTCTGAACCGATTCCGGAGCAGACTAGCAGAGTAATAGCTGAAGAAAGTAAGTACCTACCTCCTTTTCCTTTGTCTTACTACTAATATCATAAATAATATTATAAATGTTAAAGTAATTTCATGAAGTTACAGAGAAGATAATAATAGAATTCATTTATTTTGACAACATGCATCATATAAATAATTTACATTATACAATGTATTTTGATATAAATTTTTACATAATATTAATATAACATTATTTAATTATATATAATAATTCCTTTAGATATTTTCTTTGTTTTGCTATGATTGACTTGTTTATTTAAATAATTTAAATTTTCAGGTACCGCTCCAGCTCCAGCTGTTCAAGTTCCACACAATATAAGAAGACCCAGGGCACAAAGGCAAAGTATGTTATAGTTTAATTATATTTATTTAATGAAAATTTTGTAAAATATGTCATTTATACAAGTAGGAATCCAATGAAATGAAATGTCTCAGTAGATTTCATAAAACATTATTCTTATGCATTACAGTTCGTCGACATGAAGGCGTTCCTCGATGGGCTTACGAATTGGAAGAAAGGCGCATTGCCATCGAGGAGAGCCGTATTGTCATTGAGGAGCGACTAGCTAGAGTAGAGGAGCGTCGTGCTGCTTCTATGGAGACAATAGTTAACCTTTTAACAGTTTTAATAGAATTAATTAGAGAAAGAAATTTCAATATTTAAACCTTCTCTAATTAATTCTGTTACTTCTTTATTTAGTTCATAGAATCAAATGTAAATTGTAATATTTAATTTTATACTATACAGTTAGTTGTTATAAGCCTTCTCTAATTAATTTTATTAAATCTGTATTTTCATAATTTAGTTCATAGGATTAGGTGAACATTGTATTTGTTAATTTTATTATAAACTTTTAATTGTAATTGTTACTTAAAGAATGGTGGCTGTGGAAGAAAATAATAAAAATACAGATACAAGATAATAACATTAATAACTTAGGTAAACAAACTTAGATGGTAAAAATAAAAGTCTTTATAGGTTTGTACATGGTTTTATTATTGTTTTGTTTCTATTTTATTTTATTTCGCTAAGAATTCGTTATTGTTAGTTATTTTTAAGATTTTATTAAATCTATGAGCAAATTATGTTGATTTAAAAATATTATTTTTGCCCTAACTAGAATAATTTACCACCAGTTCCAAGTTGGAACCTGTCTGAGAAGAACTGGCGAAACAAACTCAGACAGGCTCTTGAGCCATGATATGAAGATATGTATCTCTATTTTAATAAATTATTATAAAAATGGGTTTACCACAATATACTACTAATACCAAAAATTTCTGAGTTTAATTATAAACCTGATTTTATATCAATTATTCAAAATAGGCATTCTCTCGAAGAAAAAACATGCAGTTGTGTCTAAAATTCCTTTAAACTATTAATAATAGTTTTACAAATACCTAGGCCATAATCTGATAATTTTTTTAAGAGTAAACTCAAATTGGCCTCCGCCTTTCTTTAAATTGTTATAATCAACAGCATGCAGGACTATAAATTTACTATCAATCATGTTCTTGCCTGCCATAATCTGGTAACGAGAACATCTCTAGAGGTATCGGTTAGTGTGTCAACTCTAGCTGCCACACTACTGATTTGGTTCTCTTGGTCACGGTTAATATTCTCATCTAGCAAATCAGGCATCGGAACACTTTGTGCAATCGCAATATTGTGTAGAACAACACATGCATTAACTATTTTTCCAGCAGTAACTGGATCATAATGAAGTACCCTGTGAGCTAAAAGACACCTCCAACGTGCTTTTAGTACACCAATGCAACGCTCCACTGTGTTTCTGACACGGCAGTGTAGATTTGTGTAGTATTCTTCAGGAGACCCCGAAGCTGCACCTAAGATAGGTGTCATCATCCAAGGACGTTGAGCATAACCCGAATCTCCTGCAAAACAATATTTGTTACAATAATAATATAATATATAGATATTCTTTTTCCTACTTCAGCTTTTTTTGTAAATATCAATTGTTTAGTCAAGATATTTTCATTAGAATACATACCAAGTAACCAACAATGTTCTCTATTGTTTGTTAGCTCTTCCACATATGTTTTAATTGGGCATTGATTCCATACATAGGAATCATGAGAAGCACCACCAAAGGAAGCATCGACATGCAATATGTTCAATTTAGCATCACATATCTGAAATATATATCAAACTTTTTATTTCACAACATCATCATCACTAGCATACTTAAACAAATTAGATACATTATATTACTTACTATTAAAACATTTAGTGAATGGTAATTTTTTCTATTAAAATATGTTTCTTCATGTTCTATGGGTCGGATTATAGCTACATGAGTGCCATCAATACATCCAATTATACCCGGAAATCCAAATTTTTCCATATAGCTAAAAAAAGTTAATTTTAAATTGTATGTTCAATAATAAAATATTATAATCATTTTAATCAATATACCTACTCTCTCATAATTATTTCTCTCTCATTCTGGGAAGAGGGAAATTTTATATATTTCAATAATATTTCCCGAACATTCAGTGCATCAGTAACTTCATGTAAGCACTTGCTGAAGGTTGGTTGAGACATATTGCACAAGAATGAGGCACCAACATTCCGCTGATATGATCCATTAGCATAAAAGTTTAATGCTGCAAGGATCTGCAAAGAAATAGAGAACCTAGATCCAAAGATAACATTTTAAACATATCTTTCAAAATAATAGGCATATTCCAACCTTGATATCATTGCGCACAGCTGTTCTTCGTCGGGATACTGGTAAATGTGGTGTGATATCCATTAGAAGCCGCTGATATCCATCTTTGTTAAGACGGAAATGAGCAATAAACTCATTTTCAGGCAACTGCAAAGGGTCACTCATATCGCGACATCGACGCCTCTCTATTCTTAACAGATTTCTCTTTCTTTCTTCCTCAGCAAATTCCATTAAATAAGGCCTCGCCATAATCAATAGATTGGTATTTTGTCGGATTGCATACAAAGAAACTCCGTAAATCAAACAATATTATCTTGAAAAGTCCAGTGAATACAAAATTATAACTGTTTTCAACATTAGCTTTATTTAACGCAATCAAAACCAAAGAAACTTCTTTCGAGAGCAATAGTATTTTGAACAATAAAACCGAAATAAGAATTGTTTATTTAACATAACGCAATACAAACAAAGAAACTTGTTGAATAAACACAGATATTATCTCGCAAATTTCAGTAAAACCTAAATTAAAACGATTTCTATCTCAGCTCTGTCTATTCAACGCAGTCGGGTAATAGTGCTCAACAGTAGAAATTGATAAAACACTGCTCCATAGCCGTTCCTTTCACGGCTTTGTTGAGAACTTAAATGATTAGCACTTTGTAGTATATTTGATAGCCACTTTGCTTACACAATATCAATTTAAGACTATCGATACGGCAACGCTTGTCAAAATAATTTACGGTGTACAACGGTCCCGTGACGTCATCTTTGATGGACACTCAAGTTAGCCAATAACAAATTCGAAGTTTGACAGATATTTGATGTCAACTTTGTCAGTGGCTATCAAAATTAGTTGTCCAACAAAGTTACGCAATAGCCCTGGTCACAGTACTGTAACAGCTTTAATAAACATTACTGATGATATTCGTTGGGCTATGGAGAATAAAGCTCTTACAGTTCTAATTCTTCTAGACTTCAGCAGTGCTTTTAATTCTGTCGATTTTGACATTCTTCTCGCTATTCTTCGTACTTGCAATATCTCTCCTTCTGTTCTCTCATGGTTTGATTCCTACCTTCGGGGACGCACGCAACGTGTGCGTCTTGGTAATAAATCTTCTGATTGGTGCGACCTCGGTGCGGGTGTTCCTCAGGGTGCTGTTCTCTCACCTCTCTTATTTTCTATTTTCATTAACTCGGTTACTAAAGTTATAGAGTCTGGCAAGCGAAACGTGTCACAAGAAAAGGGCGGCAATTTCAAAAATTCTTAAGCAGTAAACACTGAATGTAGTACTGCAAAATAATTTTGATACTTTTATTAATTATATTTAATCTTAACATTTAGATATCAATTAAAATTATTTGTTTTGGAACATTTGACTAAAGCGTGACTGTTCTTAATTGTACAGTTAACAGCATATCAGTAGGCCTATTCACTAACTCAACTGACAACCAAGAATCGTCATCACCGTAAAAAATAGACACTTTGATTGTGTCAAAATCACTATTTCGTATTCTCTATCAATGATGAGCAATTTCGAAATGTCAATATCGGCATTCTCCACTGGACTCCATTTTGACACTTGATTTCGTATCGATAAACTGTATTAAAGTAACATTGTTGCAAAGCATATTTGAAGTCGTCGCATAGTACCTCTTAAGCCATTTGTTGTTAAATTAAAGCGAAAAAAAATACGTATCCAATATTTTTCTATTATCTGACTGACGGACTAAATCGAATCTTTTTTTTAACCCATTCGTTATACCTATTGGCTAACAGCACTTATAATATTAAAAATTCATATTTGTCATTAATTAAAAGGGTGTTTTTTTGCAACGACTTCTTTGTTTTTTTGTAATGAATATGGGCGACTCTGGCCACATTTTTTTAATAAATGTGATGTTAGCCAATTTTGATTTCTGGCCCTTATATTTATAATGTGTTCATAACACATACATGTCTCCTAAGGGATTTTCATCACAACCTTTTGCTCTGATCCAGAACCACTATCTATCAAATTAAATTAGTCAATATAAACACCAGATTACAATAAAAAAAACATTTATTTTTGTTACAATTAAGTGCCATGGATAAATTACATAATACAGGTGTCACAAAATCATCATGTTAATCACAATAGAAAATTTAAGATAAGATTTTGACTATGAATCAGACTAAAAATACTTTAGTCTGATTCATAGTCAAAATCTGTTTCTAAATATTCTACACCTGATAACAATGACAAGGAATCATCAGAGTCACTCTCTTCACTACTGTCTGCACCAACAGATATAATAAATTTTTCAAGTTCGTTTTCAACAATGCCATCTTTTAATTTGTAATCATTTTCGACATTTAAAACATGATCAGTGTATTTCTTCCAGTCACTAGGGGTAATTAAGTTAAAACACTCTATTATTAAGTTTTCCATTTCCTTTCCTGGTATTCCAATGTTTCTGCTTGCAATTTTTCTTTTTGCTTGACTCCAAACCATCTCTATTGGGTTTAAGTCACAATGATACGGTGGCAGCAATAAAAGTTCATGATTATGTTCTTTTAAAATCTCTTCAGCTTCATATACAGGCAATGTTTTCTTATCATTAACCAAACACATTAACTCTGCCTTTGTCTGATATTCCTCAAAATGTATTCCATTATTTACAAGCCATTTACGGATATCTGCTTTGGTATTAGACATTATAGGCGGTTTATTGATTTGTTTTATATGGTAGCTGGCATTATCCATAACAATTACACTGGGCTTACTTAAATTTGGTATTAATTTTTTTCTGACCCATTTCATAAAGTTCGATGAGTTCATATCATCATGATAATCAGCAGATTTGGATTTACTACTGAACACTAATAATGCACCAGGCACAAAACCTTCCTCAGATCCAGCATGCACAACAATATGCCGTTTTCCAGAGGATATCTTTGTAGTGACACCAGTTGTTGAAGGTCCTTGCCAAG